TAAGAATCAGAGTATAAATACAGACAATAATGCAAACATAGAAGGGTCAAAAGAATCTTCGGTCAAGTGACCTACACTAGCTAACAGTCCGATTCACAGTTGCAGTGGATCCAAGCGTCAGACCGAATGAAAAATTTAGTTAGCCTAGTTGTTACTGACTTACCCGACAACATCCAATTGCTTTTAAAGGATGATGTAAAAACTAGTTGTTCCTAGTTAAGAAAAAACCCACAAAAATTAACACCGGCTATGAACAGTATGCGAAATTGCATAGAAAGAAGACGAAACTATATCGACCTAGAAATGCAGCATACACTCAAATGGATTCAAAAATTCCACTGTCTACGGTTTTTTTTAACATATAAGTTGCCCGGCTGCTTGAAAGAAACAGAAGTCGGCAAGATGGATAAAGCAGGGTTGCGGGAAAGGCCGAAGGCAAGTGCAAAAAATGCAGTTGTTGTGTATCCACCGAATATCACCGAAAGAATGATACCAGACGAAAAAGATCTGGAAAAATGCCGCATTTAGAACATGGATGACTAAAGTTAGCTATAAGAGAAAAATTGATACAGTTTTAAGGAAACATAGTTGGAATTCGCATTCTAGGGATAACAGTAAGAAAAAGATCGTCAAGAAATATTCAGTATACCTAAATACTATTGATAAACTACCCGCGCTACCTTGAAAACTTCACCATTGCCCGTAACGGCCTACGGTTAGCCTACGGTCAGTTTAGTGGCTGGCTTACTCTTACCGGAAGGCCCTACAGATCCAACGCAACGAGCAGTCACCGGGCGTGACTGGCGGTGGCTGTTCTCAAACGGGCTGCACACGTTCAGAAATCTGGACTGGAAGTTCAGAACTAGACAGAAGCTGACGCAAGGTTATCAGGGCGTAGGTTCGCTTCGTAAAGCACATAAAGCAATCTTAAGGGGTTGCACGTACTTACTTGTACTTACTTGCATGCAACGTGCCAGCCTTATTACTGACTAAAAAGTAGGCATAAATGTGCCAAAATATGCTGTTATTAATATCTACCTATAGTAAAAGGAAACTCTACAAAAATAGGACTGTCAATGTAAGATTGGGATTGCGACCAAGGGTAGAAGCTCGATGACACATGTTTTGTGCCAATTACCTAATATATTCTTAGTGCATTCGAAATTAGTAAGTAGAACTGGTGCCAGTGTGCCAAGTGGCATAACACATATGGCTTGAAACCTGGAGTTTACACGATGTCTGCATTGGAATTTTAGGGCTAATTATGAAAGTACAGTTTAGGATATGAGACTGTAAATTACCTCCATAAGAGAATACGGGATACCGCGGGCCTAAAAAGAGCAATAACGATACTTACGAGACGCCAGAGTCCGAAGCCCTGATGTCAAGTGACGTACCTTGTTTGAGGGAATCAGCGATGTATCTGGGAAGGAGACCATTGGACGACAGCATTTCAGGAAGCGATTCTGGAAGCAGGTGGCCTTCTTCCCGGTCATAATTGCAGTCTGTCAAGCAGGGTTGGACCTGGAACTCTTCATCCGGAGATATATGCCCGAACGGTGGACTTGTTGGTTCATCCGTCTGACCAAAAAGTTCGTCCATAAAGTCCGCCCAAGAGTTCTTTTCGTTCTGTTCTTTTTGCGGCTCTTGCTTGCAAACTAAATAAATAAATACCGACAAGAATTTTTCAAATACCTGCGCTTGCCATTCCCGAGTAAGACTCAAATGGAAATGTACAACTGACGTTCGAACACATGTTACTGAGTTCACCGACAGCTGTTTTTATCTTTAAAAGCTCAAACTTCATGCCAACACGTAGACAAAGAGGACAAAACGATAAACTCATAACTTGGAAGAACACGCCCCGCGAATTTACAAACAAACCGCCTTTTTAGGAGAGAAAAACAAACAACCACAATGTCGATGTTCTGTCGGGGGTTGTGTTTCCATATAAATGGTTAACAACGTGGTCTTTCATTAATTGCCTTAATTCATTAGCCCAAATTCCATAAAACAGCCCATTCCTTGAGAGGTTACTAAGATATGAAACGGTACTGTTAGCATGACGCACTAAGTGATTGTGGATAAGACACTTAGCAGAAGAAACCCAAATCTGCATCCTTTAAAGAAATGCGTCCCACTGCCAAATCACCCGTGACTGACGCTGACATTTGATAAAAAAGCCAAAAAATTACTTTTATTAAGGCACGATCAAGAGGAATATGCTCAGTAAGCTGCTACAAAAAAACAAATCGGATATGAGAACGGCCGAGTTTATTTATTTGGAACAAACGATGAAGAATGTGAAGCCCTTCATGCGGGCATGCGGTGAGCAAGTAACATATAATTGTCTTTAGAAAAGGCGCTGACACCCGAACAAAAGACGACAATGCAGTCGATTCCACACTCGGACGTACGCGTATATTTTTTCTAAGGAATTTTCATTGCGGAAAACTGGGCAGTTGTACAGGTGAATTTCTATGACGATTACGCGAGAGCAACGATTTCCTATTGGACTCCAAATCAAGAGCGCAGGAACAGCCATATCTCATCCTAAGCTGGCGCATGATAAGTATTTAAAAGCCCTAAAAATCGTTCATGCTACGGTGAACGTGAACGCTAAATGAACGCCCTAACAAAAATATGGTTATTGAAAAGAAAGTTAAAATAAACGGGGGGTTTTCTGCTACACTCGCGGATCTCTGAACACTTTTAACAAACATCCACCGATATTCTATCCAAATTCCTTATTGATTCTGGTCTATCTGTAGAACACAGGGCTATCATGATTACACCAACGCCATTACTGGTGGATAAGGCCAGGGTTTAGTCAAGATATTTTTCCCCCTATTTGCCTAAGATATAACAGCCCAGGACGTGTTTGTGTTAATCAGAATGAAAGAAGATACCTCACGCGCCTTCACTTCAGTTCTCCTTTTTCAGCAAATGAAGCTATTCAGCTTTGAATTTCCCATTTGTTGCAATCATTTTAATGCGTTTGAAAATTCTGGAAGATTAATATCATGAAACTCCTGAGCTTTCTTATGTTGAGAAAGCACTTTGGGAAAGATGGTTTATTCGGTGAATTTTCGAAGCTGGAGGCCTGCTTCGTCTTCAGACGTAGAGAAAAGTGAATGGGCCAAAAAGGGGGTAAACACTAATATCGAAAGTCTGTGGGAAAATCAATAACGCCGTGGCGTGACGCTTGCGTCAGTACCTTGTTGCTGTGTCTTTCATTCCCTTTGGATTGCCTCGCGTCTTGCCCACTTGAGCTTGATGCTTCGGTACGACGGTGCTAACTCAGTGTGCCTGTTCATGCACTGTGCGTCCGAGTGCATGGCTTCGAGAAATTCGCGGCCTTTCTTTT